GAAAGAAGTGTCAGTCGGGGAGATAAAAAAGCCTTGCGTTGCTAATTGATAACCCAGCATTTTCCAGGGAGAGAGGGAGGCAATGAGCCATCACCCCTGCTAGACAGTCTCACTTAAGGTGACAAGCGGGTCCTGCCCTGATGGTCTTCAAGAAGATCTTAACTTCCCAGGAGAGGAGAGGGGCCTGAAGTCTCTCAGATGCTTTGCCTCTGGTCTGGTGTCCCCATTCCCTGCCTCAGAGGGCCCCGCTTTGGGTCCGTTCTGTACACAGTAAACTATTACCCTCCACCAAAAAAGCAAAGCATGAAGAATAGTATCAGAGTACATTTGAGGAACATTCACCATGGGCCAGACACTGTCCTCAGAGTCTTATTTAATACTCACTGTTAGAACAGTCAAAAGTAGGGGTAATTAGAATCCCCATTAAATAAAAGAAGGAACCAACATGTGGAGAAGTTAAGTAATTTGCTCTAAGTCATACAATTAGCAATGTGGATGGATGTGCTCTGTAGTTATCCTGGAGCTGGTGCTCACCTGAGACATCCACCTGGTGCCTGAGCCCTGGTGAAGTCCACTTCCCCAGTCAAGACTGGAAGCCATGTACCCCTGCACAATGCCAGGTCCCTGGTTGTGTTTTCGAAGCTACTTTCATAGCTCCTTGCTCCCTCTGAGGCTGCTGGGTAATTGGCCAAGATGGTTTTTTAAACGAGGCACCCACAGAATACTGGACTTTTCTGATACCTGTGTAGAGATATTTCATACCTCATATTGAGTAATGGACTTCTTTTCCCCAATTCCCAAGAGAATTTTGCAAAAACATAGCACATTCTTAATTGTGGATTTCTCTTCCACGATTGTCCTTTGGAGCCCATTCCTGTTCACCGGGTGGCTGGTGATGCTAACAATAAAATAACTGGACAAGTAGCAAGAAAATGAGTATTGACAGCAAAACTTAGAGATGTGAGGTCTTTAATATAGTACACATTATGTCTTGAGATATAGAGAGACCTCGCTAATATGAAGTACATTATTTCTGCTAGCACATTTGTTCCTGGTTTGTAATGATAAAGTTAAAGCTATCTCTATTTATTAGTGTTCATGGCTTGTAGGTGTTCTACCCACTAAACAAATTTCAAAAGTAGGGGATATTAAAACTAGACTGGGTAGAACCAGTCACTTCTAATAGAAATTGCTAATATTTATGTCCTCAGCACTTTGGATCTCATTGAAACCTCACAATGACACTATGCGATAGATACTATGATTGTACCCATTTTACAGATGAGGAAATGGAGGCTGAGAGAAATTAAATAGCTTGCCAAAGTCACGCGGTTTAGAGCCAGTGGGGATGGACATTGAATGAGCCCGATCTGACTCCTGCACCATGCTTCTTTCTCTCCAGGCTGAATGAGAAATGAAGAAGAGAGGGAGGAAGAATACAAATACTTAGGAAGTACTTTCTCTTTTCCAGTGCTGTGGTAAGGGCTTTTATCCTTACTGGAGGGTTCTCTCTCTCTTATCATGAAGCTAATGTCTGGTATAAACATGAAGAACACTGAATCAGGACTCAGATGGCTGAGCCGACCATCAAAATTCTATCTGCCTCATGGGGTTGAGGTTCAAACAAGATATGAGTGGGTAACAAGGCTCTGAAGGCTACCTGTGCACCTGAGGTTTACCAGAGGGTGCCTCTAGTGGGTGGGTTGGCACCAGCATGCCCAGGGTAGAAAGGCACATATCTTAGGTGATCCGGGCCTTTGCACTGTCCTTAGGCCATCTAGGAGCCTACCCTTCCCAGCCTAAATGCACCTTTAATCAGGCTATGTGGGCTGGCTCAGTTCAAGGCCACATATAGTGATTTGAAAACGGCTAACTGCTGTACACTCATCCCTGGCCTTGGCCTGATCCTGCTCTTACCAGCCTTGCTCACGGCCTGTATCCCCAGTGAGGGTGAGCCCACTCAGGATAGCGACCAGATCCTCCTCACATTGCCTGCTTGTGAAGTGCCTGGAAGAAGATTGTCCAGGCAGAGGAAGGGCCTCCTGGTCCTTACATAACCAGTATTGAGTGCTGGGTGCTGGTTTCCAATAATCCATACCTCCGACCCCCTAATCCCTGCCCCGAGGGAACAAAAGTCAGGGTCATGTGGAAAAGCATTCGAAATCGCAACCACACCAAGGGAAAATGGATTCCCTCGGCCCACTTCCTCCCCCCTCCTCTCTTTTCATTTAGGAATTCAGTTTTCTTTCTTTTTCTTTTTCTTTTTTTGTCAGGCTGAACATTTAAATGCACTCTATGCTTTCTGGATTCCCCCATTTCCCCCCCCCTTCCTCATTAAAATTCTAATTATTACCAGAGCAAGTAAGATGTATGATCAAAGGAAAGCAAAGCCTTAGAAATACCTTTTGTTTTAAGATGAGTCATTGCAGAGAAGGCTTCCAGAACAGCTGTAACAGAGAGCAGATGTGAAGGGCCTAGTGATGGCCAGATACTTAGGATAAGGGTGCATCTCTCTGTGGCTGCTTTCCTTGTGAACCCCAGGGGCATTAGGGCCTAAAAAATGGCCTCCATACCCTTTAGGTCATGGACTCAGAACAGCAAAAATTATTTTGATTTAACACCTCCCGTATATGTTTATTTGTCCCCACATTACACACTCCACATCGATAGAGGGTGTTTTGAAGAGCTGAACTACCTGAGTTGTATCTCGGCCCCATTTACTGGCTGTGTGACCCTGGGCAGTGTATCTAGTCCTCCGTGCCTCAGCTTCCTCATCTGCAAAATGGGGATAATCATGCCTTTTCCCTTGGAGAGTATTACATGAGTGAGTACATAAAAAGCACTTTGAACCTTGGACATCATAGTGTTCAATAACTTGACTAAATTCGACAATAAAATGCTATCACTTCTATCAACCTATACATATATTAAAATTTTGATTGCTTCTTTTTAAGATAATAAATACATATTAAAACAATCTGATGCTTTTTTCTTTTGTGCCTCTGGGATGCATGTACACCACACTGGAGATTTTGAGTCTAGAAGTTAACTTAGAATCAGCTTTCCTGGTCCCTGGCAGTCTCTGGGTGAAGGACTAACCCCAGCTCCTCCGGCCGAGAGAAGTCTCCCATGTCTCTGTGCAGGGGCCTGGGGGTTGGGGTAGGAAGCTAAGGACCTGAGGGGTCTCTGCTGGTATTCCTCATTCATGAAAGTGGTAGCTGGTCGAGGCCGGTGCCCTTAGCCAGGAAGTCAGAGGCAGTGCTCATGCCTCAGAGACAGTGGCTGATGTTCTCGCCTCCTTCTCACATACCCCTGGAGGGGGGACAGCTTTCCTTGGGGCCTGTGTGCTGTGAAAGTACTCTGAATCCCCCCCAGGAGGGACTTAGCATCTCTGCACTCCAAGCAGAATTTAGCACCTGGCACCTGGCAAGTGTTCAGTAAATATTGTTTGGGAGATAATTACAGCTTTTTTATGGGCCAGTCACCCACTCATCCTCATGGGCCAGTTTCTGTGCTAGGCCCTGAGTCAGACAAATATAAATTCACAGTGTTATAGTAGCCACAGTTTAATCAGGGACAAACAGGCTGGGGCAGTGGAAAGAGCCCCAGGCTGGGCAATAGATATCTGGCCCCTGGTCCAGGCTCTGTGTCTGACCTGGGACCCCTTCTCTGGACCACTGCTCCCATCTGTGAAGGTACAGCCTGGCCTCAGTACTTGTAGGGTCATTTCTCACCTTAAATCCTAAGATTTGTAAGACATTGGGACTGGATAATTCAGAGACTTCAAACTCATGGGTCTGCAGAGGCCAGGCGGGTAACAGAGTAGAACTGGTGAGAACACACTCCTCCAAGGAGGGTCACCAGTTCCCACCATGCATAAGTCCAGATATCAAGTCATCTGGCCTTTTCCAGGGTAACCACAATCTGGTGTGATGATGATGGTGGTGGGATTTCTTAACTTTCCAATCATCACGCAAGCTATACAAGCCTTACTGCTGGCTTGTCCACAAGTGACCTTTGTGCACACCTGCAGGTGTACGGCTGGTTCAGAGCCTTCTTAGCTCTGAACTTAACTCAGAGTGAGAAGAGGCCTTGGGATCAACGGTGGGGTGGGAGGTTGGCTTTTTCTCCCAAAGGGAGGCATCCTCACAGCTCTCCTGGAATAGTGGGCATCCTACTGGGGGCGGGAGTCAGGGATGGGCTGGGGATAGGGCAGTGAGCGCCCACCTTTGAACTGACCACTACATTCAAACATACCAGTTTCACAGCAAAGCTCTCAAATAACCACAGGAATGGGGAAAAAAACAGCTATGGGAATCATTTGTATCTAGCTTCAAAATAAACTGTGTGGATTGGATTCCAACTTGGTTCAAGTATTTATTGAGCCTACTATGTGCAGAGTTCTGAGTATGGAAGAAGCATTAGACCTAATCTTGGCCCTCAAGGAGATGACACTCCATCTCATTCACTTCAAGTCAACTCAACTGTTGAGCTCCTGCTTTGGGCTCCTCGGTGGAGGTTGGGTAATGGAAGAGGATCAGTTAGCCGAGCCTCTGGTCCTCAAGGCCTCAGGGTCTGTTGAGGAAGAGCTGTACACAAAAATGACTCTGCTATAAGTCTGGCCATAGTAACAGCTCTAATAGAAATTCAAATGTGAATGCTTCACAAATTTGCACATTTGCTTAGGCTGCTATTTAAATTACTTTCTGTTCCCTGTGCACATACCAATAGGCAGTAGGGGACCTAGGCATTCCCCAAGCTGGTGGTGGTGGTGGTGGGGCGCCAGAAAAATCAGATCAAGGTGAGGGGAAGGCTGCAGATGTTTTACAAAGTGAACTATGGAGCATGAACCCTGAAACCATCTCTCCTCCACCTGGGCGGCTTTCTCATAACCTTCTTTTCTCTTCTTCCGTCTTTGTCCCTTCTGTGTGCTCCCTCTTTCAACACCCTTCTCCACTTATCCCTCCTCTGTCTGTCCCCCTGTCCCTCCCTGCTGGCAGGCACCTCTGTCAGCCTCCTCGCAGTGGTAGTTATTGTGTGTGGTGTGGCCCTGGTGGCAGTTTTTCTTTTTCTTTTTTGGAAGCTGTGTTGGACGCCTTGGAGGAGCAAGGAGGCCTCCAGTCCCTCTTCTGCTAACATCCTCCCAGAAGCCCTCCAGAGCCCCAGCTCCAGAGGCAACATGGCCGACAAGCTGAAGGACCCCCATGCCCTGGGCTTCCTGGAGGCAGCGGTAAAGATCAGCCATACGTCCCCAGATATTCCAGCCGAGGTGCAGATGTCAGTCAAAGAACACATCATGCGTCACACGCGGCTGCAGAGACAGACCACAGAGCCAGCATCATCCACCAGGTGAGGGGTGGACCTCTCCCTTCCCTAACGCCACACCCCCATGTTCTCTTATTCAATTGTGAGAATCCAGCCTGTAAGAACCAGAGACCAGAAATAATAACACGTGAACTTTGGTGGTTGGAGAACGTATCTCATGATGTGGTCCATGGTGTGTGATCAACTAGGAGATGGTTACCAGGAAAAACTTCAGCAAAGGGAGACTTTTGAGGTGGGGTGCTGTGCATGTGCTATGCACTGGGATGTGTGTGGGTGGCAGCTGTTGGGTGTTTGGAGGGGAGGAAAGACTTCAGGCAAAGGGAAGAGAATATGCAAAGGCCCAGAAGCATGAAAGTTCATGGGGCGTCTAAGGATATATCAACAAAGCCTCGCAGACAGAGTCTGCAGTGCACGGGAGATAAGGCACAGATTCCTAACATTGTGACAGTGAAGATTTTATTACAACCTTTGGCAGAGTCCTCTGCGTGACAGTAGTTAAATGCATAGCATTCTTTAGCTGGACAAACAAAAGTGACGCCCACCACCTAATGACAAAAACATACTCTAAATTCAGGAACACTTTTAAAAGAAATAATGCATGCAGGCATGAGGCATTGTGTTTATTCAAAACTTAGGTCTCTAGTGGATTGCTGGGTCCCTGTAGTATCTCCCCCGGCCCCCAGAGGACCAGCCAAAGACAAGGAGGACAGGAATGAAAGTGCTGGGGTCACATTTACGGAGCTTATTGTATGCGCTCAGGCAAGTTGCTCACATTTCCTAGGCCTCACTTTTCCCAACTGTAAAATAGGGCTAAAGACACATAAGGTTGCTCTGAGGTGCTCACAAAGGAATCCATGTGATAACGAGAAGTAACGATAGATCGTTTATTATTATTAATACACCAGACCCTGTTCTAAGTACTTTATATGCATGAGTTAATGTCATCCTCACAGCAATCCTATGCAATTGCTACTTGTATTATTCTCATTTGATAGCATAGTGAGCTTAAATAACTTGCCCAAGGTCACTTAGCTAGACAATGGCAGAGCCACAATTAACCTATACAGTCTGGCTGCAAAGCCCAGCACCTGTTACCTACAGTGAGGGCTGTAGTGGTGGTGATGATAACAAAGGGAGAGCCACATCCCGGGTAAGATAGGATGGCCCTCCTCCTTAGGAACCTAATGGTTTAATGAGGGAACCAGAGTCACGTCTACTAGGAAAGAAACCTAGAAAGGAGGTAGTAGAAAAGCAGATAAAGTGATGACAGCAATGGTGAACATTTATCAACTTACTATATACCAGGCCCCATTCCAACTACTTTACATATATTAAGGCATGTGACGGCACACAAAGTCTGTGCAGAGGGGAAGCCGGTAACAAACGGGAAGAAAAGGGCGCCCGCCCCCTAGCGGGTAGGATGAGCCAAGGCCGCTGAGGGGTGTCAGCCTGCATCCCCCTCCGGCTCCCCCTGACCACACCCCCTCTCGCCCTCTGCCAGGCACACATCGTTCAAGCGCCACCTGCCCCGGCAGATGCACGTGTCCAGCGTGGACTATGGCAACGAGCTGCCACCGGCCGCGGAGCAGCCCACCAGCATCGGCCGCATCAAGCCCGAGCTCTACAAGCAGAAGTCGGTGGATGGGGATGATGCCAAACCCGAGACCTCCAAGAGCTGCGGGAAGATTAACTTCAGCCTGCGCTACGACTACGAGAGCGAGACCCTGATCGTGCGGATCCTGAAGGCCTTCGACCTCCCTGCCAAGGACTTTTGTGGCAGCTCCGACCCTTACGTCAAGATCTACCTCCTGCCCGACCGCAAATGCAAGCTGCAGACCCGCGTGCACCGCAAGACCCTGAACCCCACCTTCGATGAGGACTTCCACTTCCCGGTGCCCTACGAGGAGCTGGCCGACCGCAAGCTGCACCTCAGTGTCTTCGACTTCGACCGCTTCTCGCGCCATGACATGATCGGGGAGGTCATCCTGGACAACCTCTTTGAGGCCTCCGACCTCTCCCGGGAAACCTCCATCTGGAAGGACATCCAGTACGCCACGAGTGTGAGTACAATCCTGCCCTCTGGGCTTCTCGAGGGTCAGTAGTTCTGGGTTAAGTGGTCCGCGTCCTCATCCCCCCGCCCCACCCCCAGAGACAAATGGGTCTTTGCCCTTCAGGATGTGAAGTGGGGACTTGGACACTGACCGGTGGCCCCGCCTATGCTGGAGAAATCCTTGCCATCAGCCCCAGGTTGGGGTGGGGGCAGCAAAGCCCCCACGTGGGTGAGAAGGGAAGGGAAGGGAATTTTTTATATGTTGCTTCTGATCACATGTTCTGGGTGGTTCTCTCTACCTGCTAGGCCTTAGGTTTACCACCTATTAAATAATGGCATATGTCTCTTTGCTCATGGGTAAGGCTTGGGCCAGGCCCATAGACTGAGTCAGACAGCAGCATCTGCCAAGGGCACTGATGGGTACTAGAAGCCTGGAAAAGGCAATAAAACACAGGCTGCATTAATCAGGATGAACCATGTTATGCTGAAGCAACAAACAATTTCCGGGTCTGGTGGCATAAAACAACCAAGCTTTACGTAGTTTCCATTCACATTACACATGCTTGGCAGCTTGGCTGGGGCTCTACTCTACCTTGTTACCCAAGGATCTGAGCTGACGGAGGCTCCATCTTGACATGTGCTCCTAGGTACCACATCAAAGAAAGGGGATGTGGCAAATCACGCACTATTTCTTAAAGCTCCCACGCAGAAGTGACACATGTCACTTCCACTCACATTTCATTAACCAAAGCAAGACCTATGGCAGCTCCTAATATTAAGGGGGAAAGGCAAAGCAATCCTACCTCATGCCCAGGATAAGTGGGAGTCCTTAATGACCAACACGAGTGACACCCACACAGCAGAGCCCCTTCTTTTTTTTTTTTTTAAAGATTTTTATTGGGGAATTGGGGGGATGGGAACAGTGCTGGGGAATTGGGGGAAGGGGAACAGACAAGTTGCTTTTGTTTTGTTCTTCAGACTAGTTGTGGAGGACGTTACTTCACTGGCCTAAGTTGGCACCTTCATTGCGCTCTTCCCGGGTGAGGCAGATCAGTCGCCGGCTTCTGGACGGCCGCTCACTGCGGCTGCTGGCCGTTCACGCTGGCTGCTGGCTACACACGGTAGCTCATGGCAACCCACTGCCACAGGGAGTGCAGCCTACGCCGTCGCCGGCGACTCATGGCAGCCCAGCTCCAGGTTGAGCTGTTGTTCAGCATCTTAGCTGTAGAGGGCAGTGTCACTGGCCCTCATATGTGGGATCCGAACTGGGGCCCTCTGGCATCCCAAGCGAGTTCTTAACCATCGGGCCACTCAGCCGGCCCCAGAGCCCCTTCTTTTAAGCCCTGCCTGCCCAGGCCAGACTGGGAGGTGGGGGAAGATGGCCTGGCAGGAGGTATGGCTAACCCACACATGGTGATGGGGATGGGCTGTTCGCACTCCACAGGAATTAACCCGGAAGGTTTCAAGGAGCTGAGGCTCGGTTGACTTTTAAAAGGAGGGAGGACAGCTCTGGCACAGAGAATGGGAGAGGCCGTATCTAGAGCTCTTGGGTCTGGTCTACATGGAGTGCTCCAGCCCACTGGGTAGGTGTTGAGAAAGCTGTGTAATCGCGTGCTGCAGGGATAGGTGGAGTGCCTCTCTCGAAGCCCTCCCAGGCAGTGTAGAGCCCAGCAGGGGCGGTTCCACAGTGCACCCATGACCTTGTGCTGGGGTCTTGAGGGCTAACTGCTTGACTGTCTCCTTAGATATTTCCCTGGGGCAGAGACCATTTCTCAGGGGTAGGGGTGACCTCAGTTTGCAGGCCCTCCCAGTCCAATACATAATATCTCTGTATTGATTTTGTAAGAGGAGAGGCCAGGAAAATCAGCCTAACTCTGGTGAGAAAAGGGCAAGAATCCTGATTTGTTCGAAAAAAGAGCTTGGTAGGCTCTGCTTCTGCCATGGGGAGGGTCTCTGGGACATCCCATTCTCGTAGCTGGTGCTGACTATGACCAGTCCAGTCTGATATCCCAGTGCCTCCACCACATTTACTTTCCTGAAATGTCATCCCCAAGAATGGCCCCACCAGCAGGGCTAGCAGACGGGGCGGGCAGATGGGGTGGGCTGCAACAGCAGCTCTGCTCCATAAATCACTCTGAAGTTTACATCTGACACTGCTCCTCCCTTGTGGTCTCATAAGGCAGCAGCTTCATTAGAGTGGCTGTACAGGTAGAGAACATCTCAGCCCTGCCCACACTGAGGCTAAGACCCAGGGTCTCAGAGAGGCAGAGGTCAGGGCCAGGGGCTGTGGGAAGCAGAGCTCACCTCAGACCTCTGAGGAGCCTCCCTTCTTACCAGAGGGCTCACTTTTCTGGGACTTTAGCTCCAGCTATGAGTGGAAGCCCTAGTCCTGGAGTAGACAGTCTGCCCAAGTGTGCCCCTTACCTAGAGGCTAAGACCCTGGATTCTAGAGCTCCATGGCTGTCCCTGCCCTCGTCCCATCCCCCTTCCTTAACCCAAAGGCACTGGACAGACCGTCACCATCCCTCTCACCCTCAGTCAGTACACCATTATAATCTCCTTCCACCTCCTCCTAGCAGAACACTATGCCAGGCACTGGGGAGTGAGGCGGGCTGGGAGAGAAGCCAGCCTCGTCACTCCACAGAAATATATAATCTAATTACAGAGACCGGAAATGTCCATGCAGGAGCTAAAAGCAGCAAATGCTATACACTGTGTGAGGTTACAAGTCCTCAGAGCCAGGACAGCAGCAAAGGTTTCCTGGATGAGGGGGACTAAACTAGGTGGGGAGGGACTGGCAAAGAGGAAGGGGAAACGGTCTGGCCAGGAACAGAGTGAGTCTAGGCCCGGGAGTTTCCAAAGCTGAGCATCCGGTGACCAGGCTCATGTACCCTGTCTTGCCTGCAGTCTGTCTAAGCTGGCTGTCCTGGAGGCCCCTGGGCACCTCTCCAGCAGGCAAGGAATCAAGCAAAGGAGGGGAAAGGCACATAAGAAGGCTGGTGCTTTTACCTGCTTATTGGTGCTGACTCTAAGATTGTAATTATTTTGGGGCCAGAGAGGCCCAAATCAGTCACCAGGAAGGACTGAGCACTCAGTCCATATGAAATCCTGCAGCCAGCATGGTGGGGTGGGGGTGGGAGTGGGGGGTCGGTACAGATGAACGCAGCCAGGTCCCATCTCTCCTGCCTGCCAATCCCCCTCTTGGAGCTGCATTTTGGCTCCAAATTTGGAACTCCAGCAGCTGCTCTACCCGAAAGCTAGTCCCTGACCACATCTGGCATTGCTGCCTCTTCCCTTTGCAGGTTCCCCGTGTCAGTCAGGTCTTCTCCCACCTCACTGCCTGACCCAGACCAATCCACCTTTCTCAGCTTCTCTGAAAGTCCTCCCCTTCTCGCAACAATTGCTCCTCCGGATTTATTCTCTGTGCCCCTCAGTTATATCCTGAGTCGTGTTCTGTCTTGCAAAGTCCTCCCAGTGGCTCAGGAATAGCTCGAGTCCCACATATGGCTTTCTCGTGCCCTTTCCCTCAGGGCTGAGCATGTCATTTGGTGCCCCATGTAAGAACACAGCACATTCTTGATGAACGACCAATGGCTTAGTTAATTCAATTACAACTATATACAGATGCTTCTCTACTTATGATGGGATTACATCCCGATAAACCCATTGTAAGTTGAGAATATCCTTAAGTTGGCAATGCATTTAATACACCTAATCTACCGAACATCCTAGTTTGGCCTAGCCCACCTTAAATGTGCTCAGAACTTGCATTATTAGCTACAGTTGGGCAAAATCATCTAACACAATAAAGTGTCAGTTATGTACCCTCGTGATCGTGTGCCTGACTGGGGGCTGTGGCGTGCTGCCACTGCCCCTGCTTCACGGGAGAGCACCATACCATGTATAATTAGCCTGGGAAAGAATCAAAATTTGAAGTACAGTTCTTACTGAATGCATGTAGCTTTCATACCATCATAAAGTTGAAAAGTCATAAATCGGCTGTCTGCATTGGTGCAGAAGGAAAGGATTATTAAAGAAACAATGGAGTTGGGTGCGGTTAACCTAGGAAGGCTTCCTGGAGGTCAGGGTAGTATTTTGAAAATGGGTAGAGCCAGGCTTGGTGGAGAAAGACCCAGCCTGTGCATTCCTGCAGAGGTATGGTTCACGTAGATGGTTTGTGTCTCGAGTGGCAGAAATTAACCAGTCGGATCGTGTAGTCTGGACTTAAGTGACCCACAGGCTTGGTAGAAGGCGCTGTGGGAACGGGGGCTCAGGAGGCTGCTCTGAGGTCACAGCGGTCCATGAATGCTGCCCCCTTGCATCTCCTCATGCTTGTATCCAAGAATCAGATCCAGCCCCCAGCCCTAGCAGGTGGAGCCAGGCATGTCCCTTGCTTCGGTAGCTGCCTCAGTGCCCCAGTTGGTTTGAAGTAGCAAAGCCTGCAGCATCCTTATTGCTTCCCCCAACCACTGAACTCGTGAAGGGGAATGTACATCCAGGGAGCCTAGCTAGTCTAGCTCTTCGTTAATTGCAAATCTTAAGCTTCAAGGGACGCTGGCCTCCACATCCAGGTTGTTCTGGAGGGAAGCCTGGCAGCAATGAGCTGCTATAGTCCCCAGGGTGAGCAGTAGGGGAACCAGACGACCAGGGCACCTGGAGGCCTCTGCTGTTCCACCTTGTCAATACGCTCAGGTGTGGGAAGGAACAGTGGGAGCCATTAACTCCACTCCCTCCGAGGGCAGGGCCGCCCTGATGCCCCCCCATCCTATCCAGCTGGGCTAAGGTTACCTGGTCTCCTGAGCTTTCCCAGCAGCTTGCCATGTTCTCTCCACCCAAAACTTCCATTGGCTGCAATCACCCTGCTCTTTCCTTCCCCCTTCTTCTGCCCCCAGTCTCATTATTTCTACATAAAGCTGCAGATTTATCATTATAATAGAGCCGCCGTCACTGGAGCTTGCTAACGTCTCTGTAATCTTGTAGTTATTGCCACGGAGTCCTCAGACCACAGTG